ACACCACTCTGATTAGCATACTGTATCTATAGATGAGCAAATAATCACTTCACGGCTGTTGTACAGCTGTTCTCCTATGGAGGGTAGAAAAATTCACCAGTAGAAAGAATTGTGCATCTTGCTAAAACGACGACATACTTGCTACAAGGAGACATGGATCGGAGATACACACCTCAGCAAGTAGATATGGCCGTTATGGAGGAACCGTTATGGAGGAACGTAACACACCTAACACAAATAATTCTACGATACTATGTATCACAGCTCACAAGTAATCTCCTACGTTAGGGTAAGTCTAGATCAGTACTACGTCACAAATCCGTGCACACAAGTCAAGGCAAAGAGATTAATGAAAATGAGTCGTGAATTTATCATACCCTACCACCCAGACGAATCACAAACTTAGCCCCTTGGGTACCTGGGAATTAACGCAACTCGATACAGTGGAAAGTTCGCACACGCAGAATGCGAGGTGTGAAAAAAAGAAGAGAACTATGAAAAAAATAGAACTCCTTATGCCAGTAGACACGCCCGGAACATCATCCAGAAGCCAGTGAATGAGGTACCCAAACGCCGACCAATGCTCTCTCGCCAGCCATGTCCATAATACAGTGTAGTAGTAGTAGTAGTTAGATCGGCACAACAGTCCCAATCCTACACGACTCTCTCTCTCTCATAAAAAATGCGTCAATCCTCATCGCCAGGTCATGCCGGCCCTGTCCTTCTTCGCGCCGCCAGCCATCCCCGCCGCACCACCAATAGTAATGCGTCGCGAGGCCCGCGGCTTCTCCTCGGAGGACTCGTCGGCGCTGTTCCAGCCAGAGGCCCGCCGCAGCGAGCCGCCGCCGAGGTTCATGCGCCTAGCCTGTCCGGGCGTGAAGGAGGACGCCTTCAGCGACGGGTCCTCCGGCGGCGAGCAGCTGATGGGCGGGCTCCGGCGGCGCTCGGCGCTGCCGCGGCGCAGCCGGGAGATGCCGTTGGTGCTCGAGGCGAGCGACGGCGTCGGGTAGCTGCCGCCGGCGCGGTGGTGGCCGCCGAACGAGCTGACCGAGGACACGCGCCGCAGGTGGGAGCCCGGCGCCCCTGCTGCTGCCGCCGACGACAGCGACGCGAGCGACGAGAGGCGCTTCGGCTTCTTGTTGGCGTGGATGGCCGAGCGCAGCTTGGAAGTGTCGATCAGGCCCGACGTCTCCGAGTCGGACGAGGGCGGGTGGTTCTCGTCGCCCGACGACGGGGACGGCGCGGGCAGCGACGAGGGGAACTTGGAGGCCGGCGAGGAGCGGGGGCTGAGCGACGTGTAGCGTCTTCCCGGCACGCTGATGTTAGCAGTACGTGATATGTCCAGGTTCCGCAGCGGGCTCGGGCGGTCCTCGGCGGGCGTCGGCGAGGACGCGAGCTTGAGCGACATCGTGGGGGCCACCGGCGAGCCGAGGCTCTGCGACGGTCTCGCTTTGGACAGGAAGCCGGCTTGGAATCTGCTGGGCTTCGAGAGGGGCAGGCTCGTCACCTCGGGCGCGAGGAGCGACGGGCTCGACTCTTCTTCTTCGTCTGCATCGCTCTCCTTAACGGGAGAAAGGTGCTCGGAGATCCTGGGCAAGGGCCTCTCGGGCGAGGCAGGTGGTGGCGAGAAATCAAGCTTTCTGGGTGTCTTCTCAAAGTCGGCTAGTGTGCCGGACTCGCCGTCATCATCGCGCCAGCGCACCGAGCGCTTCGAAGGCGCCCGCTTCCTGGCTGGAGAGAAAGCGACGCCCTTCCGGGGGCTGGCCGCTTTGCGGCGGCGGGGTGAGCCCTTCATGGGTGAAAGGAACACCTGCGTCGGTTCAGACGCTGCCACGGCAGTAAAGACCGGATTGGAGATTGGCTTCACCATGTCCTTAGGTAGGGCAGACAATCGCTTCCGCTTAGGAGTGCCGCGTTTCGTGGGAGAGAACGCCTCCATGGATATTTTTGCACTATCCGGCTTGACCACTTGGGATGTGGCTGTAAAACCGGTCTCTAATAATCGATTAATAATGTCCTTGGCGTGCGCAACTGCTTCCTCTTCGCTCATGTTGACGGTTTCGGAGAGCGATGCGAGGATCTCGAATTGAGCAGTCAGCAGTGTCTGGATCGCGGCGGCATCGCCAGCCTTTTCCTGTTCCAGCACTTGTCGGTAGGCCTCGCGGGCGAAGTTCGACTTGAGGAGCTCTGCTTCCCTGGTCAAACTACCAATCTCGCCGGTGTCCCCAAGCCCATCGCCAGCAGGAAGCTGACTGATACTGTGCTGGAGAGCTCCGTCAATAGCGCGCTCCCAGTTCGTCTTGTCCAACTTCTGGCGAAGATGATATCTGCTTTCCTCCAATTCAAGAAGAATGCCGTGGGCCGTTTTCCGCATTGCTGAAAGGGGTGCGGGCATGGAGTCTTCGTCATCACGAGCGTCGCAAACTGTGTCAAATGCCGCGATCCACGAAGAGAGCAGGCTGATGCGTCGCTCGATACTTCTTAGTTTCTTCATATGGGCCACCTTTCCCTCACGCTCGGCTAATGAGTTTTCGTAGGCGATGCGAATTCTCTGAACGCCTTCCCGGACCGAAGCATCTCTCTTCTCCTTCTGTTTCATGAACTTGGCGAAGAAAATTTGCTCTGCGTCCTTCTGCTGGGCTTTGAGCTCGTTGATGAGCGTCATTTGTTCGTCAATCTTGACCAAGAAGTCCTTCACATGGCGGTTCACGTTGAACACATTCCTCGTCACTTTGGTCTGGATATTCTTGGCCCGGTTGGCATATCGAAGCGTATTCTGTGTCTCGTCAAAATGGGCACTCGACGGGCTGACGCACACGATCATGACGGTCTTGCAGTTACCGCCGAGGGAAAACTTCAGCAGACGAGTGAGTTTGCTGTTTCGGTAGGGTACGTGTTGCTTCTTCCGGGGGTCGCAGAGGGCATTGATGCAGCTGCCCAGTGCCAGTAAGGACTTGTTGATATTTGCGCCCTCAATCAGACGGTCGCCTCGATTTTTCGTGGCGCTAGCCCTTTCACTGCCTGCAAGATCGATAATGCTCAGTGTAGCCATAGTGTGCGGCTCGTTGACGGCCGCGTTCCGGTCTTTCATGGCCACGTTGATTTGGAGTACCGCGTGTGATCGAGACGATGTCGCATTCGCGTCGGTAGGTGAAACGGTCCGGTATTCGTTACCCAAGACGATTATGTCCATGACTTCTTGGACATCCTTAGGGTGATGGCTGGTAAGGCCCTGTACGGTGACGGCCTGGTTCGAATCCTCCCGCAGCATAAGCCCTTGCTTGCTTCCACCGGGGACAAGAAGGTCACGAATGGTCTCATTGTAGATTTCCAGGTAGGAAAGCGTTACTTCGGTGTGTTTCTCGTCGCTCATGTCGCCAATCTTCTCGAAAAGCTCCTGCATCGTCAGGAATATAATGCCAGGCATCTGGGGGGTACCCGTAATGGTGTGCGTCTTGCCACATCCCGTGGCGCCATATGCGAAGACTGTGGCATTGTAGCCGTCGAGGACACTATCCAGCAGGCCCTTGGTGGTGGCCTCGTATACTTCTGTTTGTGTTATGTTTTCGTCGAAGATGCGGTCGAATCCGAAGGTTTGATCTTTGACCTTTTTGCCGTTGGGCACGACAGACCTCGAGAACTTCTGGACAGGGTTGTCTTCGGGCGGGTCGAATACTCTGTTGTCGGAGGCATTAGGCACTGCGGAGGATGATTGCCATCTGGGAAGGGGTATACATACAGACACTTGTCATCAATGACTTTAATAACTGATCGAATACCGCTTTGCTTCAGTTTAGGTGTAGGGGCGCCGGCTAACGAGCCGTCGCCAAGGAATACTGTGCCATCGTCGTGTCGCTGTCTGTGTATACGTAAGCTTCCTACCCGGTGGTTGCAGTCTCTTGTGAGTATGGGGACCTACAATTGCGCGGCCTCTCTGATGGTGAACGGTCGTACTCGGACTAAAGAACGGTTAGCATGCATCAATAGCATGGACATCTAGGTCTCCTACCCGCGACGGAGATGGATGAAGCGCCTGGGTCTGCGGCAGACATGTTGGCTGCTGTCGGTGCGTCGCGCTGCCCAAGTCGAGTAACAGCCTCCCTGGATGGTGTCTCGAGCTCACGTGGTGGTGGTGGTGGTGGTGGTGGTGGTGGGAGGATGTAGCAACATCAACTGAACAAGAGAGGAAAAGAGGGTATGATGAAAGCAAGTAGCCGAGTCGGGCAGAGCTTGTCAAGGCGACAGCGGGGATTTATAGATCTGGTGAGGCCGGCCCCCTGAGGAGGAGATGCGAAAAGGGTGAATGAATGAATGGAGGTTCGGTATTGTAGCGATGATATGGAACAATGGCTGGCACCGCGTCGCGCTAAGTATCGTCATTCGGGGGTGGACAACAATAAATGATCGAGCAGCGGCACTTGGCAGAATTGGCAGAATTAACAGGGACTTGTTGATTGTTAGTCAAACACGGCAGCATCACCGTGGCAACCGGTGGCTCCCGGTAGCTCGACTAGCCTGCACAATGGCGTCCGCTTGCCCGAAACGGTAATGGAGGCAAGGGTCAAAGCGGGGTGTAATGCGTGGGTCCCCACTGTTTCGTGTTTTACAAGCGAATTGGTGAATAAAGTTGTCAATGCACAACAGTGCAAAACAACGTGAATACCCATCCACACTGTATGAAGGTAATGATGAACGCACATTGAATGCCTCGCCATTCACCAAGGTACCTAGTTACTTGACTTATTTTGATTACCTACAAGCATCCTGTATGGAAGGAAAGCAAACCTAGGCAGCTCAGGCCACTCGTTAGAAACAGAAAAACAATAGCTAATACATTATAGAAGTTGAAAATATGGCATAGCGACTTATCCTTTTTTTTTTTACAAGTCAACACCCCCCGTATGACCAGGTGAATGATACTTTATGTAGATCTGGCTGAAAGTGGAAGATATAAATAAACCATATCATAATGTATGATCAAGTTCAAAAATTCAAGTAATTGACTGGACCAGGAATCGAACCTGGGTCTATTCGGAGTTGATTTGATGTTTAGACACCGGGCCACAACGAATTGTACTAACCACTATACTATCCAATCGTGGTTCACATCCCATGTGGGCTGTGGATGAAGAGTTCACCAGTTTAACCTAACATATGTATCTTCTTTTGCATGTTATTAAAATTACAAACTAGCTATTAACACGAAAGAAAAGCTTTTTTGTCTACTAGTACTACTGCCCTCTACGCGCCCTGAGCAAAGCTCGTCCGCTTGTTCGCGCCGTACTCGTCCCTGCCGACGAGGAAGCTCTCGGGCGGGCCGAGGTAGCTGGGCCGCACGCCGCCCAGGTTGACCACGATCTTCTGGACGATGACGCTCGGCGCGAGGCCCCAGACGCGCAGCGTGTACGCCCCCGCGCCGGCCACGTCCCACCGCGTCGTCGTGTTGTGGCCCGGGTCCACCCCCCACGCCGAGTCGGCGACGGACTTGGCCCAGCCCGCGGGGAGGTCCGGCCCGATGCTGTCGGGCACGAACCGCACCACTTGCGGGGATGTCTGGGCGCCGTCCGCCGGGGACAGCGAGACGGCGAACTGCAGCGGCGTCTTGTCCGAGAGGTAGTTCTGCGTCGGCGAGAGGTGCAGCGTCACGTTGACCTTGGGCGCGGCGGTGAACAGGTACACGTCGTACTCCAGCGCGGGCGCCGTGTCGGGCATCTGCGGCGGCGTCGTCTGCGGCCACAGCGTGACGCCCCCCAGCGTCCGCCCGTAGTCCTCGATGGTGAGGTATTTCATGGCCGCGGCATTGGAGCCGGGTGGGCTCCATACGCGCTGGTAATGCGGCGCCTCGATGGCCACGGTCTTGTCGGACTCGACGAACCCCGACTTGAAGCTCGAGGGCACCTTGCGCAGGTTCACGGGGACCTGGACGACGGGCGAGCCGTACCAGGTGGTGAAGCCCTCTTTGCCGCATCCCGCCTTGAATTTAATATTGGCCGTCGTGGTGTTGACGACTTGGGGCGCCGTCGACCAGTCGACCGACACGAGCACCCGCGTGTCGGTCCCGTTTCCGGGCCCTACTATTCCCTTGTTCTGCGAAAGCTTGATGTAAGGTAGGTCGACTGTCGCCGACCAGTCGCAGTCCCTGGTTCCCCGAGAAAATACGTCGAACCACCGCGTCGCGGGCCCGTATGGGTCGAGGGACGGGAGTACGAGGGTATTTCCCGAGTTTCCGTGATACTTGTCGTCGCCAGGGATAGTGGCATTGCTTCCCTCGACAGCAATGCCAACGTTGCCTGCGATGGAGGACACGGCGGTCTGGACGTACGACATCGCGGGCAAAATGTTGCGCATGGGCTGCTGCCAGTAACCGTCGTATCCGAAGTGTGTTTCTACGCCTCATGTCAGTGGAAAAACAAGCGCGCACCGGGCATTCGATACAACTCACGATCAAGCATCCGTTTCCACTTCCCATCTAGGAGAGCGTCCCATCTCGCCGTGAGCTCCCCGTCGGCTTGGAAGCGGGCCAGGACGTCGGAAATGATGTCATTCGCCGAGTTCCTGCGCTGGTTCGCGTACACCGCGTTCTTCTCGGCGCCGATGTGCACTTGGTGGATGATCTGGCCTCCCAGAACCGGGTGCAGAACCATCTCGAAGAAGGCCGGCCGGTGGGCCTCGTCGAGCTTGTCGTAGACGGCCTGGGCATTGTCGACCAAGTCCTGCCATTGCTGGAGAATCGTGTCGCCTTCGTTGTAGTTCACCACCGAGTAGACGTAGGGCTCGACTAGCTCAAACTTCCTGCGCGCCGCGTACATGCCATATCGCGTCATGATGTCCGTGATCTCCGCCGCCTGCTCCGATCCGAATTCTCGGGTTGCCCAGGCGGTGGTCCATTTGCCCACATCGCTCACCCCCCATTTCTTGACGTCGTAGGCCATGTCTAGGAAATGGCTGATGGGGATCTCCAATGGCTTCAGATCCCCGACATTGACGATCCAGATCCTGTCGGCGCCGTGGGCGTAGGCCAGCTGCATTTGCTCGGCCGTCTTCCCGAGCTGGATAGTGTTGATCCACTTGTAGTTTCTGGTATCACCGACGTAGTCGAAATGATAGTAGACGCCCGCACCGCCCGGTCGCGTCTTCTCGTCGTCGACGGGCACTCGCCGCACATTGCCCCAGTTGTCGTCAGCCCATAGCAGGGTGACGTCGTCCGGAACCGTTAGCCCCTTTTGGATGTAAGACATCACCTCCTTATACTGTAACACCCGAAGTCAGTCATCGCAGTCTCAGAGTGATATAATCGCCCTTGGAGCTAGCTTGTTCTGAGATCGATTAAAATGAGAAGACGACTCACGAGACACCACATCTGGGGCACATCCGTCGCCTTAACGCCCAGCACGTCCTCAATAACGTTTCTCTGGCTGCGGACCACGGCCTCGAGCAGGCTGACAATGGCATCAACGCCGAGCCCCTCGATGGCTGTGTCTCCGGTGCCTCTCATGCCCATGGTCCACAAGCTGTTGTTGGCATACGGCTTCGCCCTCTGCGCGCCGTACGTGAAGTACTCGTCAATCGTCTTGTTGTTCTGCTCGTACGCCCACGGCCCGAGGCCCTTGCTGGTGTAGAAGGTGCCGAACTCGTTCTGCGCGCGCATCATCGGCTCCGTGTGCGAGCTCCCCAGCACGATCTCCCACGCGTCGGCCAGCGGCTGGTTGGCCGGGTCGTCGACCTCGAACATGGACCCCCAGAGCGCCGGCCAGAGATAGTTGGCGCGCAGCCGGAGCAGCAGCTCGAAGACGTTGGGGTAGAACTGGCTGTTGTACCCGATCCCGGTGGGCGTGTCCTCGTAGTTCCACTGCACCCAGCCCGAGAGGCCCGGCTGCTCGTCGTTCAGGAAGATGCCGCGGTACTTGACCGAGGGCGGTCCCTGGACCTTCCCGCCGGCCAGGGCGAAGACGTCCCCGCTCTTCTTGACCGGAACGTCCGCCCACCAGTACCAGGGGCTGACGCCGATCTGCTCGCTGATGTCGTAAAGGCCGAAGATAGCTCCACGGGGGTCGCTGCCGGCTACAACGACGGCCTTTGCGCATCCGGGTATCGGCTTCTCGACGATCTGAGTCACGAAGGATTCCCATTTACCCTTGATCTTAGTCACATCCAACTTACCGGCCTTGACTAGATCGTCGACCACTTTGGAGCGGCCAAGAGTTCCGGCGATGATGACTGTGTCTTTGCTTGATGGGTCGGCATATCTCGGCCCGGAGAAGTTCTGTGTGCCGTTGGTCTCGTACTATCGGAAAACCATGGTCAATACTACATTCGGATCCACGGAATAACAGAACTCCCATAAGCACACCACTGCCTCAAAATAGATCTCAGAGTCCGCAATGCCCGGCACAGCCGTCCCAATCTTCGCAATTGGCAGTTTATACGGGACCGCGACTTACATGCGTATAGTTAGCAGCAGCTGGTCGGTACTGGTACGTGGCCGGTCTCGCCCCCTTCTTGCCGTTGCTGAGCGTGAAGTTGGTCCCCGTGACGCGGCCGAAATCTATGGCGAGATCGCCCGCGGCTCGGATCACGCCCCAGCTGTCATCGGCCGATACGAGGATCTGCGGCCTCGAGATCTTCCCGCCGGCTAGCTGGAAAGCCCCCGGGGCACGCTTGAAGCCCACGACGGCCTCCTGTCCGAGCGCCGTGACGAGCGACGCCCACACGGCTAGCACGAGCCATACGAACGAAGCCATGGGGCACGACTTTTTCTTCGCTCCCTGTCCAGTAGGTGATTATGGCGACCTAGAGGGGGTGCAGTCAGGTGGCCGTGGATTTCGAGCTGGTGAGACCAGAAAGTCCGGTCACCCACCTTGCCTAGGTGTGTGGATGGTTTGCAGGTTACCACGGCCACCCACCAAAAGCAAGGCGGATCGCTCTCTTATATTGACTGTCCCGACAGCTCGGGCACAGAATGGATCGAGACCACATGTCTTTTGGTTCATTACGGTCGTCTGGCCCCCTCACACAGGGGACGGGCCAGATTCGCGGAGATGTTTCCCTGGGGCCCCATTTGAGGGAAATCACACGATTTTTACCTAGGAACTAACTAGGTGAACCCCGACCCAGCATCTCGTTCTCGGTCGGCATTGTAACCTTCTCCGCACCAGCTCGACGCGGGCGGTTGGGGAACGTCGTATCGAGCCGGAGCTGACGCCCTGGGTGCCGGGTGATTTGGTCATGGCGTTGTCTCTAAGCGCGTTGGGGGAAACAGGGGAGCTGAAAGCAGGTACAGCGAACTTCCCCACGTTGTTAGATAATCCCGCGCGCCGCCCCGGCGAGCGGCGGCAACTCATCCCGCAAAGCCGGCCAGCTTTCGAACGTTTTTTTGTTCGTGGCTCTAACCATCTACCCAGCACAGCCCACCTTGGCTCGCGTGCGCCCTACTCGTAGTCCAGGTACGCGGCAGACGATCGGGAAATGCTCCTGAGTTGGGGCTAGCCTAGCATGACGGATGGGTCGGTGTATCTAGATGCAGGCACGTTTTTACCCACTCTTGTTATTGACATCATTTGGGGTAAAGGGGATCAACCGTCCCTTTGCATTTAACCGGCAGCAAGTGGTTCCTCGACTAGGCTTGAAATTCTTGAATTTCACGGGGATACCACATGGCATGGTTGGTTGACCGCCGTTATGATGAGCGAGGGGACTAGGTAGCCTGGCTCGGTGCTGTTCCTACTGTCCTTTTTTTTTTTTTTTGTATTGTAACGCATTATCGCTCCTAACGCCTCGCATCAATATAAAATTTGCTTGAACGCTAGTGAAATCTGCGAGAAGAGAAATACGTGCATAGGGGACTCATGAGCGTTGAAAGTGAGGAACTGCACATGACCCGTAGATCAATGGGTAGTTTAGTTCGTACCGACTATAGTCCACATGTATGCCGGTATGATTACACCTTCAGTAGCGAAGAAGTGAATAGCGTAGCGTTATTGACGATGTTTGGAGACGTGATACGAACTATGGTGGCAGTTAGCTTTTGATCACGCTCGCACCATCATAACACCAATCCGGCAACGACAAAGTTTATAGAGACCGTACATATGGATCCTT